AGATTCCCTATCAATGCTGTCAAATGCTTTTTCATAGTCTATAAATCCAATGTAAAGTGGTGAGTTCAGTTCAATGCTTTTGCTCTATTATAATACGTAATGTGGCTATCTGATCAGTACAGGATCTGTTTTGACTGAAAAACCTGCCTGCTCATCTCTTAGCATTTTATCAATAGCATCTTTTAATCTTTCCAAAATAATTCTACTTAATATTTTTCCAGGAACTGAACAGCAACATAATTCCTCTATAGTTTTCACACTCCTGTAGATCACCTTTTTTGGGCAGTTTTCACAAGATATCCTTCTCTCCATCTGCTGGTATTTCTTCGGTCTCCCAGACTTTACTAAATAATCTATGCAGCAATTCTGTTGATGTGTTTATGTTGGTCCTGATGGCTTCAGCTGGGATACCATCTGGGCCTGACGCCTTTCCTTCCTTAAGAAGATTTATAGCTTTTTCTAATTTCCTCTTTGGATTGTATCTCACAGTTGATATCCAGTTCCATTTCCAAAGGCTGGATATCTGGGGGAACCTCTGGAGCTGGTCTATTCAGAAGTATTTCAAAATATGCAGCCCTTTCTGTCCATTTGGTCTTGAGTTTTGTTAAGTACCTTTCCTTGGCTATTTTTGTTTCTCCATTTGGCTGACTATATTTACCTACTAATTTTCCTGTCTTACTGTAAAGATCTCTGAGGTTTCCTTTGCTGCTGCTGTCTCCGCTTCTTGTGCTAGATCATTTAGATATTTCACTTTATCTGCCCTTATATGCCTCCTAACTTCCTTGTTGGCTTCTGTGTAATTCTCCTGAGCTCTAGCTTTAGCAGCTCTAGTTTTGCTATTGTTTAACTCTGCCTTTTTACTTTTCCTATCTTCAATCAGTTTAATGGTTTCTGGTGTTATCCATGCTTTATGTTTCCTTTCTTTCTTGCCAAGAACTTCTAAGCAAGATTCATTCCAGATTCCTTTGATCTGATCCCAGCAGACTTCTGTGTTGACAATTTTAGCTAACTGCTGCAACACCTGGTACTTATTAGAGACCGTAACTGAGAACTGTTCCTTAATTTCTTTATCTCTGAGAAAGCCTACATTATATTGGTTTCTATGATTATAAGATGTTATATATCTTTTTAGTTTCAACTTGATTTTACTTATCACCAGGAAATGGTCAGTAAATACATCGGCACCTCTGAAAGCCCTAACATCGTAAAGGGATGATCTAAACTTTTTGTTAATACATATGTGGTCAATTTGATTAGTTGTCTTATGGTCTGGTGATTCCCATGTTGCCTTGTGTATTCTTTTATGGGTAAAAATACTTCCACCAATAACATACTGGTTACCTGCACAAAAATTTGTGAACAATTCTCCATTTTCATTCATTACTCCTAGACCATGTCTCCCCATAATTTCTTCATAACCTGTGTTGTCTGATCCTATCTTAGCATTCAAGTCACCCATCAAAATTTTTAAGTTGCCCTTTCTTTCATTATTTATAATATTTTGAAGCTGCATGTAAAATTCTTCCTTAACAGATGCACTTCTGACTAGTCCAGTCTAAATAAATGAGCTTTTGTGGTGCTGAAGAAAAAAAAAAGTTTCCTAATGTGTAGTTTTCATAGACAATATGTTGTCAACATCACAGCATTTTTAAAGGGTGTGTATAAGTAAGATAATCACATGAGTCTCTATCCTGAAAACCAAAAACCATCATTTACTAAAACACAAGTAAACATCGTGAATTACAGAAGTGTGAACATGAGAAGAAAAACGTTTTCAATTAAATGTTACCAGTGTGCACACGAAACCATGATAAACAGCCATAGATCATTTATGTACCAGCAACAAAGATGAAGAATCTCCTAAGAATCCTAGATAAAGTAAATAGAAAAATCATCCTAGATACAGAACGATAGGAAATAGGAACAGCTTCTCAAAGATATATTGCCTGGCCCACGTGTTGGCGGCTAAAATGATTCCTCCTGGTCTTACCTCTGTCTGTACAGTTCTAATATCGTACCTGAAGTACAGCCCCAAAGCAGAAATCATGTTGTATGTAATCATATAGTGCTCACCTGGATGTCAATGTTAGACTATAGTGTGGTCAGCCATACTGCTAGGGTTTAGGCTGTGTGAAAGATAGGGTTAAAGTTGCCTTGCAAACTGCATCCTTGTCTTTCATCCTCCAGCGGCATGAAGTGATTGACAGCAATCCTATGTATCTGGAGTGATCTCAACTGGTAGCCAGGTTTTTGCCATAAAGTTGCTGAATTTGCTCTGCCATGCTGGGAAATGCAAACTAGACAAACGGAAATTTCCCAAACAGTACCGGTGATATTCCTCTATGTCATCTCTGACTAAAATGACGTCACTCTTGATGTAGCCAAGAGGGAAAAGTCAAAGGATCAGAAGGGTGGGTGGGGGGACATGTCATTCAGAGCATTGTTGTCTACCTGAAACAGCATCTTGAGACACCTGCAGATCCGAAGGTCATAGGTTTAAAAAAAAAGACAGGTTGACCCAGCCTTTTGGAAAGTGAAGACGCCCAATATGATGATGACCGCTGAGTGGTATACAAAATATAGGTCTAGCGCCCTCTGTGAATTATGCTTAAAAGCATGGGAAAAAGGTCCATTACTTTACTTAATTTTTAAATTGATTCTAATTATATTTGAAACTCTTCCCTACCCAGACAGCTGCTCCTGTAACCTTTCCTTGGGTATTTGTTATTCTGACCCTTCCTTCTTTGGCTATTTGTTACTGCAACCTTTTCTTATCCAAATATTTGTTACTGTAACTCTTTCCTATCCTGACATCTGTTACTGTAACTCTTCCTTGAAATATGTGGCTGTAACCTTTCCTTATCCAGACATTTATTACTGTAACACTTTCCTATCCTGACATCTGTTACTGTAACTCTTCCTTATCTTGACATTTGTTACTGTAACTCTTCCTTACCTGGAGAGTTGTTACTATAACTCTTCCTTACCTGGACACTTGTTACTGTAACACTTTCCTTACTTGGACAATTGTTACAGTAACCTTTCCTTACCTGGACGGTTGTTACTATAACCTTTCTTTACCTGGACCATTGTTACTCAAAACCCTATTTATCTGGATAGTTATTACTGTAACTCTTTCTTTTCTGGATAGTTGTTACTATAATGCCTTACCTAGATAGTATTTACAGAAACTTGTGAATGACCAAGTTGAATACTTATGTCCCACCTGGCAGGTTGTGGAGGAGTGTTCCACAGTAACCAAGGAACTCTTAGCTCTCCCAAACACCCCTCCAGCTATCCCCACAACACTGAGTGCAGATGGAACATTAATGTTGAAAATAATTACCAGGTCAGCTTGCACTTTAACCCTCCATTTGATCTAGAAGCCAGGAACTGCAGCAAGGATTTTGTTGAGGTATTTAAAGATGTAAATCAGAACTTTATCTCCATTCTGTGTTTGATACTTGGATGTTTACAGTTTGCATTTAGCTAATTCTTCTACTTCATCTCCCCTTCCTTCTTGTTCCTCTTATTTCCCTTTGTTTTTTCATCTCTTCTCCTTTGAATCTCCCTATGAAATTTGTCCTCAACCATCTCATGCTTATTTTTACTAAATTTTTCTGCTTGTGTAGAATGTGTCTCCCAGCAACTGATCATGGCACAGATGTGTTTTGAGGTCTGTTGCAGGGTCCAGATAGCAAGCTCAACAGTCTCATGTTAAACAGAATCATGTGGTTAGTCTAAAACTTTGGTGGTAATATGGACTGGGATTTGCGTTTTACATTTCCACTCAAAAGGATTAATTTGTATGCTTCATTATATGGTAAAGTAAATTATATAGTTTCTGCCTGACAAGATACAATGAAGTATGTCACTTAGTTAATTGAAAAGCAACATAAAATGTGACTATAGTTGGTTTACAAATACCTGCCATTGTAATTTCAAATTTTTTTTTTCAATAATTACTTATCATGAAAACATCAGTTTCTTGCATGGGCTCTTATTTTCATCTCAGTGTTAATGTTTGTACATAAAAAATATTTAGACTGCCCAGTTGCCTCAGAACAGATGTTTTCTTTGTTATTTTCCCAGTTGTTTATTTATAGTTAGGTGATAAACTTTACAGACTGACATGAATTGTGACTATAATAGAACTCGGAGGCATATCTGCAATTGTTTATCAGAGAAGTAAGTCAAATATTTTCCCAAAAACTCATTTAAATTATTGATTAGTATGCAACATAAGTTATGCCCTTACAAATTATATAGCACACACGTTTTATAGTATTTTGTGACATCTTTAGTGCAACAGTTGTGCGATTATGCAGAATTTCCTTAAAAACAAAAAAAAAGAAACATGCATTTTTTTGTGAAAAATCGGTTGGTTAAATTTTAACTGGTTGCTGAATAACTCTTAAAATACAAATCAGCAAGTCTTATTCTCTTTTTTTTTGTATACCTCATATAAGCAAAAATGTATCCTAATTAATGTGAATGCGGGGAAATATCTGACATAACATTAAGAGTGAAGTAAATATTGACATATAATTTCATTCATTTATTTTCAGATACAGCTGAGATATAATTATTTGAATATTGGCACCAGTTGGATACATACTATAGAAAGCTCACTGGAGAAACTGGAAAGGACTCGTACAAATACAGCTAAACATTTTGATCAAAGTCTTTATCAACTAAATAACACAAACTGTGACATGAAAACTCAACTGACATGACAACAGAGCTTCTGCAAAACCAGGATTAGCATAAAGGCAAAGAATTCATAATAGGGGAAAATATGGATTTTAAGGGCTATATTAACAAAATTAAATAAGTAAGAAAATGTGTTGAAAAAAAAAAAACGGGTTTGGGGAGTGCCGGAGGCATGCCCAGCCCTCTTCTGGTCTCATCCGGACTTGGGACTGGCATTGGCAGAGACACAATGTCTTTGCCAGCTTCCTAATCTTGCTTTTAAATTAACTTCCTGGAAAATTTTACAGGTTTTTGATGAGCTCTACGGCACCCTTGTCAGCTTAGGGCGTTGGTGTCACAATATCGAACCTCCAGATCTAAGGTCAACCTCCAACAGAATGGTTGTTGTATTCCGGTCTGATGCAACAACAAATGGTAATGGATTTTCTGCCAGATGGGATGTTGGTAAGCTACAGAGAAGCCTTTCTTTGTCATCATTATCATCAGCATCATCATGTGCCCTGTTCACATCATTGAATTTTCACTGATGATTATTGATCTTTTCTGGCTTGCATCATTGGATGCATCCATACAATCTTTCCTCCAGTCCATCTCTTGATGTTGTCTACCCACATGTAACACTGTCATCCTCTTGAATGTTTTTCCTTAACCTTTTTTTTTCAAGGACATTCTTTGCAGAGGAGCTGTTTTTATTTAAATTGTATTTGTTTGTTTGTTTCAAAAATCTGTGAATTGTTAGCATTATTCAGCATCATGCAGCAGATCTTTTACAGAAAACATCCCCATCATTAGAGCAAGTAACAGGTTTCAGCTATCCTCCGAAAAACGGTCTAAAATTATCGAGGCTGAAAATATACCCTAACAGGGCCTCAGTCACGTGTAAATTGCCGACTTCAGGCGACTTAAATTGTGGACTTCGGTCGACTACCGCCACCGCCGAAAGTATCTCCCGCGCGGCTACTCACGGTTAAACCAAATGGCTGGGACTCATGAACAGCAGCTACCACATCTCCAGCAGCTTCCTTTATTTTATTTGCTCGTGAGTCCCAGCCATCTAGTTTAGCACCACTCCGCGTCGCTACGCACGGCGCAGGAGATACTCTTGGCGGTAGCCGCCGGAAGTCCACAATTTAAATGTGACTGAGGTCCTGTTAAGGTATATTTTCGTCCTTGATAATTTGGGACTGTTATTCGGAGGATAGCCTAGGTTTCTCCTGTTTTGAACACTTGATAACAGATGATGGCAAAAGGGAAACATAAGTCAGTAAAACTGATAATAGTTATGGCTAAATCTGTCTTCAATAAGATGCAAAAATTATTGATATCTAGAGAGGTAAACACATTAAAAATGAGAATTGTCAAACATTATGTATACTCAACCCGGCTGTATGGTGCAAAAACTTGGACAATGGACAGTCAGCCAGAAAATCATATTATTGAGTCTCTGGAGATGTGGATATGCAGAAAAATAGGTTGTATTTTATGGAAACAAAAACAGTCAAATTCGGAGGTTCTGAAAAAACTACAAATGAATAGAGGATAATTGAAATAGATAAAAAAATCAATGCAATTGAAATATTTTGGCAACATTACCGGCATACGGCTTTTTTAAAAACCATACTGGAAGGAAAGGTTGAGGGAAGAGCATGAGGTGGACAATGATACAAGTGGGAAGACGACATCAAGAGATGGATAAAAGTCTGGGAGATTGTGTAACCAAGACAAGAGATAGAGCCTATTGGAGATCCATTACAGCCAACCATTAAAGTAAAGATGGCACCTAACTGACTGACTGCTCTAAAGTATGGCCTGCTAGAAAGGTCCTACCCCCTAGCCACTTCCCTTGTTTCTATTTTCTTACCCAAAATGCACCAGTAGCCTGTGTTCCCCCTCATTCTGATGGACTCCCAGTTTTTTTCTGCAGACTCTTATCTTTTACAATGGAACTGTAATATTTGTCCACTTCAACATTTTTCTTGTTTAATTCATCCTATTTTTAACGACATTTTTGTTTGATTGTTTGATGTACACCTGAAAAGTCAGTATTTATCCCTCCTCTGATGTGGCAGGTGAGAAGAATTATAGTTTAGATCTCACAACAGCAGAGTTACTTGAGCTTTAAAATAGACAGGAAACTGAAAAAAATCAGAGAAATGTCACCAGACAAGGAAATAGATGATCAGCTGGTTCCAATTGATAACATTAAGGAATGTATGTCCACTTGGACAAAAATGCAGATGTTCACCGTGATGTGGCAACCATACATCGCTATAGTTAAAGAGCATAATATCTAATTTGATGTCAATGTGCTTTGACATCTTTCCCAAAAAAAAAATTTAAACAAAATTTAAAAAAAAAGTTCAACTAAACATTGCTTTAGTTAGTGAAACTTTGTGTTACTGGATGTTTATCTCTCATTGTGCGGTTCTATGGGGGTAAAGATCAGTCAGTCCGAAGTTTACAACCAGTGAACACAATGAAAGAGTATCGTTGACTTTAAAACGGTGCAAATTTCTGAACATTTGTATTTAATTTCCAGCTTGCAATTTTGTGCTGACCGAAGTATATGGCTCCCTCACCTCGCCTGGGTTTCCTAGTCTGTACGCTAATAACTTGAGCTGTAGCTACATTATAAGTCATTCCGGAGCATACATTTCAGTAGATTTTTATAGATTTGAATTGGAAGGTAAGTAAATATTCTTACTTTATATGTGTATTTGACAATTATTGTTGGTATTTGGTGCTCATGTTTATCATCATGTGGCATGTTGACAGGCACAGGCAGTCATGGCAACCTTCTTATACAATCCTTATCTCAGGTCTGATCTGTGTTCTTGACTTAATTGTGTTAAAATCATAACTTACTAGGTATCTCTAAAGAAGGTAGTTTGCCACCGCTTTCATTTTTGGCAGTGACTGTATGAGTTGGTTAATGTGACCATTCTCAGTTAGGACCACTTGTTCCATTTTATTGCAGATTGCAACAAATAATTATACTTAGTTTTGCTATGTAGATTCTGAGAAACCATGTGGGAGTTGGGAGAAGGGTGGGGGGGGGGGGGGGAGGAGGGTGTGGGAGGTGTGAAAAGAACATATCCGCTGCTTCCTAGCAAGCGTCTAAAGGTGACCAGTTTAGGGTTTGCTGAAATCAGATGTGTTTGGTCAAAAGATGGATAGATCACTATTTACAAATCACTGGTATTGTCCATTTTCTTATACAGCTGTGAGAATTGGACTTTAAAAGTGGAAATAGAAAGGAGGATTCAGGCTTTCGAATGCAAATGCTGTAGACGCATTTTACAAATTGGGTATTTAGAATATGTGGTGAGGCATGATTTGATTGCAAAGACTGTCAGTCAAGGAACATTGGGGAAGGGGGAGGGGTATTAGAAGAAGAGGAGGGCAAAGAAGAACCTGGACTGACAACATCAAGGAAGGGACAAGACCAAGTTATCATGCACTTATTTATCAAGCAGAAAACAGGAGAAAGATGGCGAGTTTTATGTATTAGTGCTTCCATCAGTACACCTCCAAGACCGAACAGATTAAGGGTTATGTTATGTATGTTACATAAATCACAGCCTAGCTGTAAACCCCAACATAGTATATCAACATCCTTTTGATGGCACATGCAGATAAAATATAGCTCAGGTAAAAGTTGCATGAAAACAAGGGTAGGTAAATCAAAACTTTGTCAAGTAAACGTTGCATGAAAACAAAGGTAGGTAAATCAAAACTGTGTAAAGTAAACGTTGCATGAAAACAAAGGTAGGTATATGAAAACTTTGTCAAGTAAACGTTGCATGAAAACAAAGGTAGGTATATCAAAACTTTGTGAAGTAAAAGTTACATGAAAACAAAGGTAGGTATTATCAAAACTTTCTGAAGTAAAAGTTGCATGAAAACAAAGGTAGGTATATCAAAACTTCGTCATGTAAAAGTTTGCATGAAAATAAGAGTAGGTGTTACAAAACTTTCTCACGTAAAAGTTGCATGAAAACAAAGGTAGGTATATCAAAACTTTGTCAAGTAAAAGTTGCATGAAAACAAAGGTAGGTATATCAAAACTTTGTCATGTAAAAGTTGCATGAAAATAAGGGTAGGTGTTACAAAACTTTCTCACGTAAAAGTTGCATGAAAACAAAGGTAGGTATATCAAAACTTTGTCAAGTAAAAGTTGCATGAAAACAAAGGTAGGTAAATCAAAACTTTGTCATGAAAAAGTTGCATGAAAATAAGGGTAGATGTTACAAAACTTTCTCACGTAAAAGTTGCATGAAAACAAAGGTAGGTATATCAAAACTTTGTCAAGTAAAAGTTGCATGAAAACAAAGGTATGTAAATCAAAACTGTGTAAAGTAAACGTTGCATGAAAACAAAGGTAGGTATTATCAAAACTTTGTCAAGTAAAAGTTGCATGAAAACAAAGGTAGGTATTATCAAAACTTTGTCAAGTAAATGTTGCATGAAAACACAAGTAGGTATATCAAAACTTTCTCACGTAAAAGTTGCATGAAAACAAGGGTAGGTATATCAAAACTGAGTCATGTAAAGGTTACATGAAAACTGTGTCAAGTGTTTTCAAGGGTACAGAAAAGATGTGTGTTTCCAGAACCTGTGTGCCCCAGTCTGTCCCTCCACTTTTCATCCTCTCCATGACAATGCTCCAGGCTGAACTACCCTCTTTCTTCCACCCCTTCCCAGAGCGGTCAGATCTATTTCCAACTCTGAGCACTCTTCTTATTGAAGTGGGTGCAGATCATTTCCAAAAATGTCGGGGAAGAAAAGACCATGAGGAAAACAAGTGGACACCATATTTTGCATGTCGTAATTTAGAATATTAAGTGGCTATTTACATGCGAAAGGCTGTGTCTGCAGTTAAACCAGTTTCACCTTTTCATTGACATTTAATGCAAAGAAGCAGAGAGGAAAAAAAGTGTGTCATTTTCCAGAATTAGAAATTTAGCAAATATTAATAGTAGAAATTGAAAAGAGTCTCCAGAACAAACAGCAGTAGTAGTCAAAAAGGCATAGTACAAACAGCAGTAAGTTCAAACTCCAGCAGCAGTCAAAATGACATAGTACAAATTGCATTACAACAAACTGCATTAATAGTCAAAATGGTCATAGTACAAACTGCAGCAGTAGTCGAAAAACAGCGGAGGGAGTATTTTAATATGTTGTTCAATGACTTAAAAACAGATGGATATAGCTGCCAGCATGACTACCTTCGTGTCTGGGAGGGGAATGTCTCTTCAGAAGTGACAGTTGCTCAAGGGATCACCAGAAACCACACACATCTGGGAACATTCTGTGGCTCTAGGACACCAGATCATCTTGTTGCTTCGAACCAAATGACCATTCAGTTCCACACTGATGGCTCTGGACAATTTATGGGATTTAGGCTTGAATATTATGTACAAGGTGAGCATATTTAGTCATTAGTTTAGCAACTCTTTCAGAAGAATTCAAAACAGATGCTTTTTCTGTCTTCTTCCCTTCCTCTTGTTGCTTCACCTCTCCATATGGGTTATGGGACCCCATATTTGGGTTACAGGGCCCCATATGGGTTATGGCCCCATATTTGGGATACTCATTTGAAAATAGACCCACTAAGAAGCATATCGTAAATGGCAACTAATTAGGGGTTAGCTGAAGTTGGATCTGTTGGGCCATCTGGCACAGATATCACAGCCTAGCTGTAAATATGCAAAGTGTGCCACCTACTCTTTTGAGGGTCAAAGAGAAGAAGAAAAGGTTACCTCATCAGTCCTGAGGGATGTAATCTGTACGTATGTGCTCTTTCTCATTTGTCAAGTTATTCTTTGTTTCTCCAAGTTTGTTCTGTATGCTATGGTTCCATTTGTGTGTGTGTTTGTGGCCTTCCACTTGATCTGTATGACCATATTTCCTAACAAATAAGACTATCCCATGAATAAGACCCACCTTGATTTGGGGACCACAAATTTGGAAAGAATTTGTATGATTAAATAAGTTAATGAACTCACGTTTTATTCTCACAGTATTTGAGAAAATCAACTCATCACTGTCAGAACTCTCGTCCGTATGATAGTTCTTTAGCTTGTTCTCATTTTTGTCTGGACACATAAATTGCTCTTTGCTCCATAATCCATATCTTCAATTTCACTCTCCAAATCAAGCCATTCTGCCCACTTGCCTCTCATGGTCTTCTTCTTCCATTGTATTAGTTAGTTAGTTAGTCTTTCCTCTTGTGTCGAGTGCGGCACATAGGGCAGAGGTCATGACTCTCCATGCACGGCGGTTCGTTGCAATCTGTTGTAGGTCTTGGATGTTTGAGTGGCCCATGAGCGAGCCTTCCCTGATGATAGTTCTACGTTGGGTTTTCCTTGGTCTTCCACGAGATCTTTTCCCCTGTGGTGTCCAAATGAGGGCTTGGTAAGGAAGTCTTGATTTATCCATTTTAAGGGCGTGGCTGACATAGTTCCAGCAGCGTTTTCATATAAAATTAGACACATACTCTTGCCTGGATTCTTGCCTTATTTGTGTATTGGTTCGGAAATCTGACCTTTTGAAATTTAGTATTCTTCTAAGGCATTTATTTTCAAAACTGTCTAATTTTGTGTCTAGAGTTTTCGTTGATTTCCAGCTCTTGCATCCATAGGTTAGTACTGGAATCACACAAGAATTGAAGATCTTGATTGTATAAGACCATATATTTTTTGAAAATTAATGCGTCTTATACTTTGAAAAATATGGTAGTCTTATCTTGGTTCTCTATAGTAGGAAAACAGAATGGATGTGTCTGTCCCCTAACAATTCTTACTTATATACAGAAAGCATTTTTTAGCAAGTTGGAGAATTTCCTGGACTGGATATTAATGAAAGAATAATAACCTGGATAATGCACCATTTGATTTGATTAATGACAGAATAATAAACAGTCTGTGATATGCAGATGACACAGAGTCACTAGCAGAAAGTGAGTTGGAGTTACAGGGGCTAGTCGAGCAAGTAAATATGCTGAGTGCAGAGTATGGTTTAAATATTAATTTTGTTTAAAATCTATAATAGAGAAATTAACAATGGGAGGAAGCAACCAGTGGTGAACATCACAGTAAAAGGAGAGATATTAGAACAAGTAGCAAGTTTTTCTTTGACATGAAATAATAAATTATGGCAGATGTGCTAGAACTGCTGGTTACTGCTTATTTACAATTTTTTGCAGTGTAGGCACAGGGAGAGAGGTCATTTGAACTTGAGGATATAGAGCCGCTTGTCTAGTGCTGTTGCCATGGATTGTGCATGTTAGGATTTTATTTTTGCCTCCAACAGAAAAAATACATTAGTTTACCGAGATTTGAACCTAGGTTCCCAGTATGAGATGCCAGCATTCCTAACTAGCTAATTGCATATAATTGGCAGACATGAAATATAAAAAATATAAAAAACTAGAAATGGGCAAAAATATTTTAACAGCATGCAACAATTACTGACATCTAGAGAGATAAACAGCGCTTTGAAAATGAGAATAGTCAGGCACCATGTGTACTCGACCCTGCTGTGTGCTATAGAGATGTGCACAGGGAACAAACAATTTGAATTTGTGTATCAAATTCAGTCTTAGGAGATGTGCACATACAGGAGAATAGGTCATATTATGTGGAAACAGAAACAAATACA